TGTCTGGGGCAAACCTTCAAGGTTAAATATAAATCAGCAAAGGCAAACAAGAATGTAGCCTGACTCTGGAAAAACTGGAGTGTCTTTCTGACTTGATTCAAGTCTGTGATAACTCGAATCCACTTCAAACGGGCCAGGATTTTACTACGTCCTTTGTTACAAGGGCCTTCAAACATTAGCTGCTCCTGGGAAGTTGGGCTCTCAGATCTGCTTAGCAGACAGGATTGAAAAGTTAAGGCACTGTGTGTTTTAAATGGCAAAGGAGATAAACTTACTAACTTTTTCATGCTTTGCTACCTCCTTGATTTCTTGAAGAAATCTAGTTTCTACAGAGATCATGGAGGGCTGCAGTTTTCTGTATATTTAATACTTATTCACAGAAAGTAGCAATGACAAGCTTCTTTCTACAGGGATCTTGATGAGAAGCAGTTTGGTTCAGGTATGGCCTTCACTCTGCTCCAACACTATGTCCTCATGAACACTGGGAGCCAATTGCGCTCCTGGCAGATCCCGGCACACAATGTTTATGCACACATCTCTGTTGCAAGATCTGTGGCAATTATTCATTCATTTATATTCCACAGAAGTGGTATTTTTCAACACCAATCTATCTGGTTTATATCACCTGAGGCAAATACGTAGATCAGTCTTAATTGCCTGTGTCTGCTTTAAAACAATCCAATAAAACTAAATAATATATTGTATCAAAAGCTGTCTAATATGAAACACAACCAATAGCAAAGAAATGACTGCATCTTAAATAGTAAAATCTTAACAAGGAGGACAGCTGCCTTTGAACAATAAATGGGCATCTAACAAATAGCAAAAACTTATCACTAAAATGCGGCCGCAGCGCAGGCTGACACTGCACCCTTGCCCACCTCCCCACAAGGAATCACAGTGGCCGATTATTTTTAACAGGCAAGCAAGAGGCTTTTTGGGTTTTGACTATTTTTGTCTTTTTTGAGTATAAATAATGGAAAAATAGTATTTTTGTCTAGATTCTTAGGCCTCTCACGACCATACCATTGTAGGGGAGAAGTGAGCTTATTTATATTGATATAAAAATCATGCAAATACAATGTAAGTATAGAAAAATCTCTGTGGTAAAACCAGAAATAACAGAAATAAATGTGGAGTTCACACTGCATCTGAATTGTTAAGAACTGTAACAAAATGAAACATGTTATCATCTCTCTATTCTATCTAAATAAAATTAACTCCCATATCCCACTAAGCAGTTATAGTGACAACTGCAAAACATCTTATACCTTATAGCTTTATATTTCATACTGTATGCCTTATGCTTTTTATATTTAAAATAACCTATGCCCTGCATATTGCTGAATTAGTCATTATTAATTTTAGGGGTTGCACGAAACAAATACTTTAGTTTTATACTCTGGTAACACAGTAACATTTAAACTGCCTGGAATTAAAGCTATTTAATCCCACATGCTAAGAATAGTTCCCTCAAGACCATTCACTACCAAAATTTGTTTACAACTGTTGAAGAGCATTTGAACATAGTTTCTTAGGGCTGAAAGTATCTCACTTTTTATTTAAATTAAACTTTCATGGCTTCAAAATCCAATTTAAATATTCATGACAAATACACTTCTTATTTAGGGAGAAATGCATGCATTAGAAAGCATACTGATTAAATTCAATGTAGTTTTAATGGAAATAGGTAAACACTTGATTAGTGGCCAGTAAGATTCTGTTTTAATTTACATTAAAACCACCTCTTCTCTTTGAACTCAAGGTCTAGCTCACTTAATTTTCTGTTCCTTGACATAAATAATTTTAGTATTGTTATGCCATTGCTAATGTCATTCCCCAGAATCTTATCACATATTCCCATACAGGGTTTATAACTTTAAGGTCAAAAAAGAAGTGAAATGCAAAACAGTGAAGAAAAGGACTTACTTTTTTGCCATATAATTCATGTATAAGAAAAAAAATTAAAAGGATAGTACATGTTTATTCAGAGCTGTTGCTTCAGAAATCTCTTAGTTTTGCAGAAAAGCCTGGTCTAACACACATCTGAAGATAAAGGATGTTCAGTAATCATAGAATGCCGAAGGTTGGAAGGGACCTCAGAGGTCATCGAGTCCAACCCCCCTGCTCACGCAGGGTCACCTAGAGCACATGGCACAGGGCTGCATCCAAGCGGGTTTTAAAGATCTCCAAAGAAGGAGACTCCACAACCTCTCTGGGCAGCCTCTTCCAGTGCTTTGTCACCCTCACTGGCAAGAAATGCTTCCTTAAGTTCCTGTGGAACTTCCGATGCTTCAGTTTGAAGCCATTTCCTCTAGTCCTATCGCTGTCCACCACTGAAAACAGGCCAGCCCCCTCCTCACTGCCTCCCTCCCTTGAGGTATTTATACACGCTGATCAGGTCCCCCCTCAGCCTCCTCTTCTCCAGGCTGAACAGGCCCAGCTCTCTCAGCCTTTCCTCATAGGGCAGATGTTCCAGGCCCCTGATCATCCTGGTAGCCCTGCGCTGGACTCTCTCCAGCAGCTCCACATCCCTCTTGTACTGGGGAGCCCAGTACTGGACGCAGTACTCCAGATGTGGCCTCACCAGGGCTGAGTAGAGGGGGATGATCACTTCCCTCGACCTGCTGGAGACGCTTTTCTTAATGCACCCCAGGATCCCGTTGGTCTTCTTGGCCACCAGGGCACACTGCTGCCTCATGGTCAACTTGTCGTCCACCATGACACCCAGGTCCCTCTCTGTGGGACTGCTCTCCAGCAGGTCCACTCCTAATCTGTACTGGTGTCCAGGGTTATTCCTCCCCAAGTACAGGACCCTGCACTTGCCCTTGTTGAACCTCATGAGGTTTCTCGCCGCCCAGTCCTCCAGTCTGTCCAGGTCCCTCTGGATGGCAGCACAGCCCTCAGGGCTATCAGCTACTCCACCCAGTTTGGTATCATCAGCAACCTTGCTGAGGGAGCACTCCAGCCCTTCATGCAGGTCGTTAATGAATAAGTTGAACAGGACCGGACCGAGGACCGACCCCTGGGGGACACCACTAAGTACAGGCCTCAAATCGTGAATTTAACGTGTTGCACTTTCATCCCAAGCAGGCAGGGTGAGAAACATGCGAGTCAAGCACTGAACTGCCTGAGGTACTGCCCCATCTGAAGGGTGGAGCAGACTGGGAGGGAGGCACTGGGGACTCACAGTCCCCATGTTACGACGCTTTCCCTCCTTGCGGTTATAACAGATCAGCACTAACAGAAGTCCTTAAAACGGCCAATTTCAGCTCAGGTTAATGGCAGCCATCTTATTTTCTGGGAGCATCGGATATGCTGAGCTCAAGTGTAGCCACCACCACTGTATCCAGGTGCATAATTTACATGTCTTTTCACACACACACACACAGACTGAAGCTCCAGATGGTTTTAATATAGGAAGAATTATCGAGTTTAAAGATTTGGAGGTTGTTGCTGTAGGAAGGTGCTTTGGAGCTGCAGAAGTGATGAGATACTCATGTGCTGATATACTGAGCTTCCCAGAGAGAAAACTGAATAATGGTAATATCCAGCTGATGCTTTATTGATGCATGCCACGTTTCCTTAAAGTTTAAATAGAGTTTTTATTGTCTTTCCAAACTCTGGTGATTTATTTCCTTTAAAAATACTTCCTTCCCTGTCTATGGACAAATCATCCATCAATAAGCAGGGGCCTAGTAAGCCCTCCAGGCAACTAGCTCAAGCTCAAACTGCTACTTTACCGTCAAGGAGCTGGAGCTAAAGGAAAAGCTCTAGAGGTACACACAGCTGAGCAAGCGTCCAAGGAGTCACCCTACATCAAAACTGCTCGCTATTTTAGTACCCCAATACAATGTTCAGTCCTGAAATGTGTATTTTTTCTCTTACATAAAAACTTCTCATGCTGAGTTTCCAGGCTACTCTTTTTGTATTTTTCATTTTGGAGGTTAAGACCTTTTATTAAAACGAACAAACAGAACTGCAAAACATTACTATCCCCAGGGAAACAAAATACGGGGCTCCTTTATGTCTCCAGGCTAAGAAATTGTAGCAGAAATGACTGCTGTAATTTGTATGTTTTTAAAGAAAGCCCTGATGTGGCTTTTCCAAACAAGGGGTACTCAGCATTCAGTTTAAGAGCGGATAAAGCACTGAGATTATTCAGATTTGAACGTCCCTGGCTCACCGGCAGTACTCGTTCCTGGGCACAGTGTTGCTATTTGAATACTCTACCTTTCCTAGGCAGCACTCGGAAAGGCCAGGGGAAGATTTTTCCATCTGGCTGACACACAGCAAGCAGCATGGGCCCTTCCTAAACTGGCTCCTTCTCAGTTTCAGTCGTTCAGTTACAATTTTCCACAGAACCTGTTCAAATCAGCTGTTCATTTGTTTCATGTTCCCATTTATCACTTCTCTATATCATTAGAGGTATTTGTATCCACCTCATGAAGTGTGATATACATCTTATGTTTTCCCTTGAATCTCAGTCTTGTCTGTACTGATGACAGCTCTAGCCTACCAGTCTATTGCTAAAGAAATGAATCTGAAGTGTGAGCTGTGAAAGGGGTTTAGAGATGTCTTCTGTATTTGCAGAGATACAAATAGGCTTACTTGGTTTGGCTAGTAACTTATGCAAACCTCTCTGAAAAGAAACTCAGTTTAATGACTACTGACAGAGACCTTGCAATATATAAACTTTATATAGACCTTGAAATACATCTAAGTTCTGGTATGTTATTAAATACCATATTATCTTTTTTCCTTTTGAAATGAAAACTGTATTTAGATTAAATATTGAAATTTCGGTGTGTCTTTACCCAGATATGACAATATATTTCAACTCTCACTTAAACTGAAATTCATTTCCCATGAAATTCCATTAAACATCCTATCTTACCAATATGAAAAGAGACTGCTCATAGTTTGCTTTTCCTGAAGGTAGGCCTGATTAATGTTTTTAGAAATGCAGTTTTACATATTGTTGGCAAATCAAACATAAAATCATAGTTACACACCAGTTGTTGGTCCCAATTAGATAATAACCACTTCTTAAATCAATAATTCTGCTTTTGTTGTAGACAATACGTTAAATGTCAGTGTCACACATTGTATCTGTTAGGAGCAAAATAAAGCATCACAGTTCAAGCACACAAAAATAGGAGAACATTTAAAGGGAAGTAACGGGGCTGGATTGTACTCACATGTCAAGAGCCCTGCCTTGTTCTCAAAGGCCCGGTACCATGTTGATCTCAGTAAGGCAACTGGATTTGAGACAGAGCCATCCAAACTCATGACACTGAATGCAGGTAGAGGCAGTACGTGTTCAACACAGAATACAAGGACAACAAATAGAAGGTATCTGCATCCAGCTAGCACTGCTGGAAAAAACTGAAGTTAATTTCATTAATACGCCAAGTTTGTATTTTTGATAGAACCTTATGAACCAATTTTACGGGTGAATCCTGTTCCTGAGTAAATTCACTACTGAGGATCAAGTAGACGTTCTCCTGCCTGTTCTCTGTTCCTATTTTTCAAACTGACCTCAGGCACAACACATTTCCATGCTCTCTGAGAAGGTGTCTGAACATGTATTTCAAGTTATGTTACTTTTATTCTGTGGTATGATCTCCATCCTCTCCGTAGAATAAGACAGACAGTGACAAAATAAAGTTACAGACATTTAAGTTCATACTGTAGGTTTAAGCTGATAAGTCTCAAAATCACTTTTCCATCAGTTACAAAGATAGTGAAATAACATTCCTGTAATGTAACAATCTGTAACACAAGAAATGAGCAGAGGTGCATCCTGGAACAAACCTTTCCTTAAGACCAGCAACAAGACTTCACTAGGACCAGTGCTTATTATGACCTACTGCTTGGATTGCAGTTATTCAGTGGTACTCAAGCATATTTTCATCATGAAAGCAAAAAAAAGGTCAAGTTAATTAGCTTCATTGCAAATATCCAAAACAAGACTTAAACGCACTAGAGTTAAACGTGAGGAACTTTCACAATATGAGAATTCATTAGGCTCAGTGATTCCCTTTGATAAAACAATGAACCAATGAACAGTAACATCATATTGGAAAACCTTTAAAATCTATCAGGTTACAATGGCACACTTTCAACTAAACAGATCATCAACCTACGTGCCTTTTCTACGCTGCCTTTTGAGTAGAACAGAAGATATGAATTTGTTTTTACCCACAGAATATCAATGTTTTTGTAGGCTAAAGTATCTGTATTGTTCTGCATCTGTAAAGTATCTGCACTGTTCCAAGCATCATACTGTCAACTGAAACACTCAGAGCTGGAAAGGAGGAAAGATACTCACGTATCTGACTTCTTTTGATAGTCTTCTGTCTTCGGGTTGTACTAGGTCAGATCTGGTAGTATCTGATCACTCGTCTGTAATATAGAGCATAAAAAGTCTTTATCAACAAACCCCTAAAAATGCAAGCGATGCTCAAGGCTGCTGGGAAAGCAGGAGTGATTGCCAGAAAGCTGCATACAATCAAGCAGACGTAGCTTGGGTAAGCAGAAGTATATGAAATTTTGAAGTTAATTGTATTTTCAACATGGTATTTAACATTAATAAAATATTTGCCAAATGATTGTGAAACAGTCTGGTAACCTAGTAATACAAGAGCAAAATATTTTAGAGGTACAACTGTATCAGTTGCAGAAACTCTGAAAGAGCGTCAGGATTATGGAGGGCAACGAGAAAACAGTTGCAGTGATTAATCATAGAAGTAACTGTGCCTGAAGGATTTGCAAATCCCTTGTCTTGTGGTATGAGATCAGATCTCTCTGTCCCTAAATTAGGCTAGATTAAGAAAAGAACCCTGTATGTTCTCTGAGAAATTTTAGCTGATTTAAAAGAGCAGTGTCATGTAATAGTGATGCTTAGATGTCACAGTGCCTTGACAGCTAACCCATAAAGATGGCAGGAACACACACAGCACAATTTTCAAGTTTACAGAACCCCTTTAACCAGGACACTATGGATAAAATCGCGCACAGCTAACGTAAACAGCATCTGGTGTTATATTGGAATGATAATCTTTAAGGGAAACCAAGGTCATCCAGCTGGTTGCTCCTCATAATTTTATATTTCACTCTATTCTTCCCCCCACCTTGTGGGATTCTTTACTGGGCATTTCTTCTTGTCTGTGCACTAATTAACACTGCCTTTTCTGCAGCTGAGTCTGGACTCCACAGGTGCAGCACTAAGCAATTTTTAGCCATGCCCACGAACACATGTGAATTTCCAAGGTCCCTGGTGCTAGATACTTCCAGGACAGGGGGGAAACTTCCACGGGTGACTGCAGGGAAGAGGAACTTCTGAGAGGAGGGAATGCGTGCCCGCAGACCACGATACTCATGGCCCAGGGGCTCACCCGGAGCAAGGGAGAGTTGTTCCTGTTCCCAAGGAAAGAGAAGAAAATCCTGGAGAGCTCTCACCTGGTGCCGCAAAGGCAGAAGTGTTACACAGGAAAGGGAAAAGCCCGTAAGTAAAGTCCTCTATTCTCTCTGCTTTTTAACTAAGTGCCTGCAAATAAAATGCTACATTTGAGGTCAAACAGACTGTATCACAATTGAGAGAGAGAGGAAACTTCAGCTTGCTTGTTTGAAAATAGATTAGGATCCTGCACACTTCAGCAAGTGCAAGTCGTAAATATGTCTTTTTTTTTTTCTCCTCCAAATAATTATTTTAAAAATAGGTGAAAAATCACATTTAGGTAAGACCATTAGGCAGTCAATTATATGTAAGTATATGCAATTATATTTAAGTATAGATAAAGTTAGTATCTGAAATATTTCAGTTTGGTATAATTCTGAATTTTGACTCAGACAATTTTAGATTTTAAAAAAACCCTTTTAAATAGTTCTGTTTTAATAAACTTTTATATGAAAATAATTCTAAATGGAAACAGGACCGTCCATTGTAAAGATGATGATAAAGAAAAATACTTACAGATTTCCTGTATTTTTTCTTGGGGATGTTTTCTCATGGTGAAATAAAACCATAACCCATATTAGCCACAAGATGACACTTTAAGACCACTGGAAAGATATTATCACCTCAAAAATAAAATCATTTTGACAATGAAATGAACTGGGTCAGTTATTAAGTACACAGCAAGTGGAAATTGGTCTCAGTCTTTTGTGAAGGGGATTGATTGATTGATTGGCTGCTGAAAGGCAGGCAGCCAAGTGCTATACTGACCCATAAGGAGAGGAAAGGAACTCTGCAAGATTTTGTTGAGAGCTCTGGCTTCCTGTTATCACAGCTGTAAAGCAACTTTATTTATGGAGATGAGAAACAAGAACAGAGCAATGTGCTTAACTTGAAAGACTTGCATTTTCAAACAAAACCTCCCCCATCTCCAGTAAGCATTAAGGAATGGAAGCATTAAATAAGCATGCTGGTCGAGCTGAAAATAAATCATACAACCGACAAGTCTCTAGATCACTGACACTTATTTTGGTGACGGTTCTCTATGTGAGGCTCCGAATAAAAGAGTAGGGAGGGCACAAATTACAATGTGCTCTGTGCACAGCTCCGTGCCAAAAGCTACACCATCAGTACTGGGTTTGGCAACAAAGCTAATTTCTCAATTTCAGAATATCTCACCCGTGCTGAGACAGGTAAGGAGATGGAAGGACTCGGGACTGATGTGGAGATTGCTGTACAGTACTGCCAAGCCCAGCGCAAACATATTCAGGGTATCCTCCCTACAGCGCATGCATGTGGAAGTGAAGAGTGAGTAAAATGAACAAAAAATTCATCAATACTTCACATTTTTAAGAAATCAGGGCATTCATTTAAAAAGCAAAAAAATGGAAAGTGAATTCAACAATAACTTTCTTACTTGTGTCTGAGAGGAAAAAAGCTTAAAAGCATAGCAACACTACTGCAATAACATATAAAGTGGACAGAAGACTCCCAGGTTCTCAAGTACTATTCCTTTGCTGTTAACTTTAGCGCACTTTCATCTGGAAGAAAACAAGAAGTTTATTTTCCCTACTGATTTCATCCTTTTCCATTCCACAACTACTGCTCTTCTTTCCCTCCTGTTTCCTATGGGGAATAGGCTATCATGGCAGAGTTTTGTTTGTTTGCTTATGTATCTTTGTATTATTAATAAGCTGTGGGAAGAGGGTTTGATCCTTAAACTCCCTCTGCTGGCTCTGCAGCTGCAGAGAACTCGGGCAAGAGGTTTCTTCTCTGCTTTATATGAGGCTCCGAGCTGCTGAATGGCTCTTGCTGAAGGGAGAGCCTCCTCCTCAAAGGAGGCGCTGAGGACTCTCAATACTAATGCAACACCTACTGCTGCATTTAGTGCCAGTTATTCATTTATTTAGGTATAATTATTAGTTAGGTACTTGCCTGCTGCCCTCGGCATCCAGCTTCAGGCCATGTAGTGTGAGCTGCCAAACCCGTTTCCTTCCAGGCATCCCTTGCACCAGCCCAGGGTTTAAAGCAGTTCCAGTCGTGCATCGCTCAGTAGCAGCTTCATGTGTCGCACACTGCGCAAAGCTTTCTCAGTTTGAAGTTTTTTCACCCCTAGCTTTGAAAAATGTTGGCACTGGAGGTAACAATACCCACTGTGCAAATTTAGGCCTTCACTTTGTTTTTTTCATAGATGGTTTCTCAGGTTTCAATGAGTCTATCTGCTCAGAATCTGAAACTAGTTCTTCCACAAACACTGCATTTTCAACAGTTCGGTTTCGGTGCCTGTACGGCCTTTCCAGACTATTCGCTCTATACCTATCAGTTGACTCAAGTGATTTAATCATCCATAATTTCAGCAAAATGCAGGCACCATCTTCCCTAAAAGTCTCCAAGATCTTCATCTCAGGCCTTTGAGTCACAATCTGTCCAATGCAGCACATCAGCTGGGGCCACAGTCACAGCAACACAATCACCAAGAGCTGGGCTTCCCTTCCAAAGGCAGTCTTCTATGACTCCTTCTGATGTTCAGTATTGAACGGGCATCTCAGCCCACTTGTCTCTGCAGCACCTAGGCTTACACTGAAACCAAAAGTCTCCAATTTGGAAAAACTATCTTTCCAAAGGTGGACCCAAGAGATTACTATAAAGAGCTCTAAGTTGTTTCTAAACTTACACACACTTGCAGAAGTGACAGCTTCCAGCCCTTAGAAGAATGCCAGTTTCATTGCAACAGGATCAGAATTTTATGTGAATATGCACTTGGAAATGACAGAGTTCTTCTTCCTACACTGCATCTTCGTGGAAAAGCAAATAAGTTACCAGTCCCTCAGAGCAATCTCAACAAGTTCATTACTCATATCCATTATATACATCCATGTAAAAGATTAATGCATGAATGTTCCAAAATGTTCTGAAAACATAGAGACAAAAGGCAAAAAAAGGGCAAAATAAATTTTTCATTCTTCTTAAGTTCTCTAATCACTAATATAACCTATAAAAGCATCTTTTTAGTCATTTTTTTTTTAATCAAGTGACAAAGATACTGCTACAAATTACGATTGTCATTTCTGCATGTCCCATCTTCATGCAAAGGTCATTTACCGCAGCCTTCCCTTTGCAGGACATTGCAAACAGGAGCAAAAACAAAATCAATGTTTCAAATTGCTCCTTACATTTAGAGTAAAAGGGTCCTAGGAAGAGTAAATGTGCAAGAATTATAATGGATAATACTCTGGAATACCTTGTAGGCTAAATCCTTATAAATTTTATATTTTGCAATGAGTGAATTTAATAATTAAAATCCTAATCTCTTGATTTGCAATTCATTTTAGCATGATGGTAGTCTACTGCCCTATAGAAGATTCTCATCCAGGAATAGCAACAATAACATTAATCTTAAAATCCATTCCCCCTGAAAGTGTTTTACCAGTAACCTGGTGGAATCCCTATGCCCAACAATTCAGCCACATCAGGACCATCGTGGGATATCTGTGCTGAGATGCTCTGTAGGGATAAAGGCCTTAAAACAAGATGTGAGGAATATACAACATCTGCCTGAAGAGGATTTTTAAGGGAGCAACGGGCTTGAGCTGGCCTCAACACACGCCTCCCTTCCTGATATCTGGGAATGCCCAACACGGTGACGGTGAGCAGAGAGAGCCATAATGGCACTCACATTGGTATGGTCACTGAACATCAAATACCTTAACATAAACTTCTGTATTAAGCCTTACACAAATCTGAGTGTACTGGACTAAGACACCAGATAAGGAAGCACCTGATACCTCTCATTTATGAAGGTAAGGAAGACCTACCCAAGGTCTTCCTTGCTTCTTTGACTCTTTCATAGAATCACAGAATCATAGAAAACTTAAGGTTGGAAGGGACCTCAGAGATCATCTAGTCCAACTTCCCTGCACATGCAGGGTCACCTAAAGC